CTTTTTTTTCGTTTTGACTTTATCGGTCTGCTAGATAAATATTGACACCATTTATTAAACATGGAAAACAACAACGATAKTTCATCCCTATTCAAGACAACTGAAGGCCAATCGCTATATCCTATTCAAGACACGAAGGACAAAAACCATATTCTGTTTGGCGGATCCGGAACTTCTCCGTATATTGAATATAGGGGACTAATCCCCGGAACTTCGTAAAGAAAAGKTGAGTGATCTCTGTAATTGATTATTAAAATTGCTGGAAGACACATCAGTAACTCGCTCGCAGCCAATGGTAATTAAGGTTGTCAGAGAAAGTAAGGAGGCTATGAATATGAAAAAACTGGCCAAATTAGCATTGCGACAGCTGTATTTCAATCAAGATGCCCGTGAGCGTATATATAATGCAATTTTGACAAACAATATTTAACTATTTCTAACAAGCCTGCCGGATATAATGATGAATGTAAATTGTCGAACGGCGGTTGCACGACGCGAGAGTAGACATGGGTTTTGCTAATTCTATGTTTGACTGCCTAAACAGGTTCAGTGAGRAAAACGTCAATCGTATTCTTTCAGCCAATAGAAATCCAGAAGCCCAATGTCAATCGATGTCACAAAAGTTCGATTCTTATAATCTTGAAAACTTTGTAAGTTAGTTAGTTGGTCTTGCAGTTGATTTTGACGGAACTGATCCTGAGATACCAATTTTAATTGGTAAAAAAGTGTCATTTCGCTTTCAAAGTTGACAATGACGTAGAGTGTAAACACAAGAGACTTATCAAGGAGAAAGCAGACAACTGAACAACGAAATCGTGGATGATGACAAGAGTTATCAAAGCGTTCCTGAATTGTATTGGAATAATTTTTGTTTTTGCTTTTAAAACCGCTGAAACCGATTGTCCTACTTCAGAATGGTGGACACAGCTTACAAACCATGTCATGGACACTTTGACTATCGGCGATATTGATAACTGCTACAGGACCTGTGCTGCAAAGCCAGGCTGTCACAGCATTAACTACTACARAGACAAATCTCTCTGTGAGTTAAACAGCAGGACGATCGAAAACACGCCCGATATGAGAGTCRCAAACGAAGACTCRGTGTACTTCACGATTCCAGGTACAATTTTGTGTAAATCTCCTTTTGTTTCTCTAAGCAATTGTTCGTCTTGTGTCCACAAAATTAATAAACCCTCTAAAAGAAACTGTGAAAAGTTCCATAGGCCTTCTGGCTTTCCCACTATTTTCTCTCATTTTTTCAATCTTTTTCCCACCCTCTCTACCTTTCTTCCGCATGAGCCCTGTAAGTGCCAAAAGGGTTTCAGAGTAGTAATAATCGTCTCGAACGCTAGTACTCATGATATATTAGACCCGATTAGTGATATGGATAATTATAAAAACTGAGCTCCATGATCGAGGTGCTTCCGGCAATATGCGCAAAAGTTTTATATCTTTTTCAGTCGATGATTTTACCGAGTGGAGCAACTGGACATCATGTTCTCTATCATGTGGCAATGGAACACGACATCGAAACCGTTCTTGCACCAACCCAACACCTGCTCAAGGTGGAAAAAATTGTATTGGGCCTTACAGCGAAACACAAAACTGCCACACACAGCCATGTCCCGGTAAGTAGTACTTTGACTAAGCATCTAGGTTGTTTTAATTAATTGGTAACAGAGGCTGCTACCCTTTCTCGCATAGTTTTATGTACAGTCCCATATGCTGTTAATTTTGAGTCTTTATAGGCCGAAAAGATAAACTGTTAAGCGGTAAATTGTTTCGACTTACGGTCTCAAAAGAAAAGAAGAGAAAAAAGAACGAAAAATATGGCAAAGGACAAATTTTAACCTCTATTACCTACGGTGCAGTATACAAAGAACGACTTGTTGATTTTACTGAATCTCCATTTTTGTTTCAATCCAAATCCTTGTCAAATGGAGAAGGACAGTCGAAGGCTACAAAAAAAAAAGGTCAATCATTTAGACCGACAAAAAGAATTCTTAGAATGAATCCGTCACAAACTAACCAAAATACTGTCTTCGGTTTTATTGCGGTAAAAAATCGAAGACAGTATTTGGTAAGTTTATGACATATTMATTCTAAGAATTGTCATTGTCGGCCTAAATGAGCTTTTGTGTAGAGAGAGCGATAAAGACAACGTTTGTATTATATAACATCAGTCAATTGGAACTTGGACACATTGTAATCAGCAGGCACTGTTGTAACAGCTAAATAAACGGATGATTTAGAGATTTAATGCATAAAACTATACAAATTATTTTTTATCCCCCTCTTTTAGGCTCTAAGGGTCGAGAAACGGAGGGCTTTAACAATTTGTTGATGTGTTTATTTCACAACTGGTATTGCTCGGGGGCTTGGATTCGCAGTTTTCAATTTGTCTGATGCATAAACATCAATACACTGTCAATATTAAAGATTTACAATTATTGTCGGGAAAGAGTCACGCATACTATTCTATTAAAATGACATTACTCAGTTGGTTGGAATGTTGTAGAAGAAAACAGTTGATTTTCAGTTTTAGTAAGAAAGATCTTTAAAAGAGTTTTGTTAAGACTGTTGACAAAACAGCCCTTATGATTTYTTTTTCGGACTGAGGTCTTTATAAGCTCAGTCTCCAGCCGTCGGGATTTCGTGCGCCCGCGATACTCTCTCCCCTGACGGCTGGGCGCATGGGATTCGAAACGTGTCGCGCATGTCCGTGACGTTTTTGTGTAATTAGCATATTATGAATAACGGAAGTGAATTTTTCAGTGAACGGAAGTGAAATATCTGACAACAGGTTTTGCTACAAGGCGGGAAATTATGTGAAATGAAAACTTCGCGAAGTGGCGATATAATGTAATAGTTAGCGCTTTAAAAAAGAGACAGGAATGGAAATTACCCCAAGTAAAACATGTGTAGGGTTCAGAATAATCCAAATGGATATATTATCTGCCAGAAGGACACTAGTGGCGCTGTTTGAAAAATAAGAGATTTGCCCGAGCCAGTAGAAAGAATAACAAGGATTTCATCTTCCAAGAACAATCTCTTTAAGAGCCTTTTGCTGTATTTCTCTAAATACGTCCAAGCTAAACGACTTCAGAGCGTTCAAACGAGAATCTCAAACGACGAATTGTCCGATATTTTGTTACACTGCGACGACGGCTGCCTGCTGATTTATTAATGATATACCCCTGAAAATATCGGGGGCCACTCGCTGATTGGTCGAGACTGACAATAGCGAACCCCATGCGCCCAGCCGTCAGGGGAGAGAGTATCGCGGGCGCACGAAATCCCGACGGCTGGAGACTGAGCCTAAGGTCTTTAATGCATTACATCGGGAGTATGTTGGGTAGCGTGTTATACACCTTTACCATAATGGCTGCAATTGTGTTTTTCCAAAATAAAATAGATATGAATATTTTGTCACTGTAACATCAAAGAACTATCAGAAATAAACGTTTTTGGAACATTTTAGAACTCTGGACAAAATAGGAAAAAAGTTATGGTGAAATGAAAATACGAAGAAATGTATGTAATTTTTCCACCAATGGCTGTCTGTCTATTTAATTTTTTCTGAATATGAAATATGTGAAAACTTTGTCACTGTCATGTGAATGAACTACCAGAAATAAACATTTTTGGAAAGTTTTACAGCCCTGGATAAAATGCGGAAAAATTTATGGTTTTAACAAAATGGACTGATTTTTATTTGGACCCGATCCAATACCTAGAAAATTGTAGACAATTTTGAACCTGTCCAATGTTGGATACTGAAATATTTACGCCTTATCTCAGTTTCTCCGACATTGATCGAAATCTGTCAAAGCTACAATTCCGATCACCAAACCCATATAAAGATATATAACTATGCCTARTTTCGTATATGAAAAAATAAAACTGAAGAGCAAAACTTGCCCTGTAGTTCTATTTGATCTCATGCTGCAATATATTTCCGCTTCAGAAAAAATTGGATTTTACATGAATCATACAATAATAGCAAGTCTATATGCTATAGTACAATTACTACAACCAGGCAATATAAAGAAAAAAATGGACTCATAATGCTATTAAAACGGGTCAGATCCCGTTCTTTTTAGTGAATATTTATTCCATACAAAATCTGACGGGAAAACAAGTACTGGACAGATTGTAAGTGTATGCAGCTTTGCGGCTCGCGTTTAGTTTTGTAACATGCAATAGAATCCATTTTCATTGTAATAATGATGATGACAGCCATGATATGTTCATTGATAGTTCAATGTGACAAACAAGCTGCCATCGGAATACAGAACAAGACTGTTGTTTCTGATTACTACATCACGGCGAGCAACAACACAATGGATGCTAATAAGGCAAGACTGAACGGTCCTGAAGGTTGGTACTTAAACTGTACCGGCAAACCGTGTACTGGGAAATCGTGGTTGCAAATCAATGTGGGAAAGATTGCCAAGGTATAAGATGCACTTAATCAGAGCACAATCCGAAAATAATACTTTGTTTTGAAAGTTATTCAGACATTTCACTTTTCAAGAATATGTCCCATTTCRAAAATTCGCAGAAAAAAAAATCATAAACTTAAATGKGGTTTTCAGTTTAAGACCAAGAATTCTTAGCCTGCGTGCAGCCGAACCAAAACTTGTTTGTTTGGCTAAGAATTCTCAAAAATGAAAGTTCGGGCCGAGAAACGCAGAAGAAATGATAAGCGGCAACCATTTTGGTGTGCACAACAAAATTCAAAAGAAGCTAATGAGAAATCTTTTGGGTCGGTCTACACSAAAAATATGCCTGCTGTGAAAAGTTCTAAATACTCTGAATCAACAGATTRCTGTTATTGCCACTCAAGGAGCTTATGTCAACAACTCGCGGCTTACTGGCTTCTATTGGACAGARARGTACAGTCTSAACTATAGCAATGATGGACGTACATTCACAAGTTACARTAACGGCCAGGTCTTCATAGCAAACACAGACTGGAATACAATTGTTTACAACGTACTTACACCAGCCATTACAGCAAGATATGTGCAAATTTACCCAASAAAGGAATATTACTCGTCTGGCTACCTGGCCTTGAGGATGGAGCTTTACGAATGTAAAGGAGATGAAGGTTTGAACACACAATATGTCGATCTCAGCATATGGCTAAAGAGGTGCTTTAAGGCGAGCGCAGAGCGCAACAGAGTGACTGTATGAGCTCCGTACAGTAAAAAACTTCAATACAAAGCAATCAAGTTTAGAAATTGTCATTTTGCAGCGCAGCTTTAGGGAAGCAACGGTGGCCTGTCAYCTCTGTGGACCCTGCTGATCGAAAATGGAGTTAATGTTTACTACATACTATCTCACTGTATAAATCTGAGTTATTATTTCGCATCATTTAACGCAATYAATGYCTCTTTTTCGTTCGTGMAATCGCCATTTGCCATTTTATCCGACAACCTTAAACTTTTTTGAAGAATAGGTATATGTTAAAGCCATTCTTTTGTATCCTAGCATTATGTTCATGTGTAATGCAAGTAATAACATAAGAATGTTTTCCTCTCTTCACCAGGGGTGTGCTCGTATGCACTTGGGATGGAAAGTAGAATCATTAAAGACAAACACATTACAGCTTCAACTACATACTCAAAGTATTYACCATCATGGGGAAGACTGAACTCTGGAAACGGGGGATGGTGGGCTGTTGGTGGCGACARAAACCCATGGCTTCAGATCGATTTGCTTGAGATAAAAATGATTAACGGMATTGCCACACAGGGAAACTGGAACCACTTTGCGAAAGAATACCATCTTGAATACAGAAATGCCACTAAAAATGACCTCATTAAGTACACAACGAACAAAGTGAAAGTATTCCAAGCAAATTCTGACGGTTCCAGCATTGTCTACAATGCCATTGATCCTCCAATAATCGCCCAGATAGTTCGTATTGTACCAAAGTATGAAGATCATATGACTATGAGGGCTGAGCTATATGGATGTCCATATATGGGATCCTATGATGGATCAAAGTAGCACGTGATCAAAACTGTGAATACAGTCGATGTCAGCATCGCGCATGCTCGTATCACGAAATTACCAGATTAAAGCAACCAGACATTAAGAACGTGGATGAGCGTCTTTTAATCTCCTTGGTCATCTTTGACTAGGTCTACAATTAACTGAACTTTGAGCTGGACATTACATCATTCTTGTATACATTATATTTCTCTAAAGTTGTAAGGTTCTGGAAAACACGACTACTTCTGAAAACACTTAATGACAATTACTTTTTTGGAGATTCCTCGATCCATGTGCAAAACACTTCGATAAGTATACTTTAAGCATCAGTGGACTAAAAAATTTTAAATTAGGCAGACATGCATGGTACGTTGCTACTCTAAATCTGTATCTGTTGTTTACATAACATTTTAGGTCGAACTTATTTGAATCTCACGGAATTTTCCATATTTTTAATAGGCGCTTTTAGAGCGTTGAGTCGGGCTAGCTACTTTTGAAAATTGAGAAAAACAGGATATTACATGGTAGTGTAGTTGCGCTGATACGCGAACGAGTGAAAGATTTCAACACAAGAAGATTCTTATTTCCAAGCAAATGTGTAACTGATTCTGTCTTGATATGGTTATTGTATGAAAGTAAATTGTGACGTAGAATAACTTTTTTTCTTCTAATAATGTGGTAGCAAGAATGCATTACCACTTTTTAGTAATGAATTAATGTACTGTTCAAAATTCTAAATGTTTGTTCACGCAGCGCCAGATATTCTTTTCTGATGACTTGGCGCAACGACGTCAAAAACACTAGAAATATCGAACCAGGAGTATTTCTGTCTGGCTAGCCTGACTTCACGCTCTAAGAGAGTCTAGTTCTAGAAGGCACAAATCTAAATGCAACTCCAGAATTCAAGAGTGAGAGTTCATTAGAACAATTCGTCCGCATCAATAAACCACTGGGTTAATCTAAATATAATGCTCTAGGAAATGTGGTTCATTCTGTATTTTGAACATCATTCTTTAGTTGAAAGAGTTGTTTTTCATATCAATTGGCAAATTTAACAATATTTAATACAAGCAATAAATTTTAAATGTAGTAAATCCCATGAAAAATTGTTGTTTGATAAAAAAGGCGAACGGCGATGATTTCATTACCGAAAGTAGCCATGGGGTTTGCTTATGTAAGGGGAATAACAGCTTTATACAGTAAGATAGTCTGTGGTAAAAATTTGGCTCCATTTAGTCCCCATGTTCTATGCAAGGTGAGTCCAATTAACAATGCAAAGCGTAACCATAATCATCCCTTTCAACAAAACGCTACTTGTATATGGCACTAGCATGATAGAGAGTTTTTACTGCAAACGTCAAATTGGCAAGTTTATGTTTTATCTCGAAATTTCAAACAAACGTCAAAACGCTTCGACAGGAATAGTGATACACTTATGTACGAAAGAAGAGATCCAGTCTATTTTATACACAATCGCGAAAGAACAGAGCGTTAACACAGAAAAACAGTGATCAAGTGATCAATTTTGACGTTTGGCTTCGTCGTTAACACATATCTACCCTGGGAACCAGAAGCTGGATTTACTCGTTCTTGTAGTTTATATACTGCGCGAAGCGCCGTCCTTGAGGCCGAATATAAACTACAAGAACGAGTAAATCCAGCCTCTGGTTCCCAGGGTAACACATATCTAAAACTCACCAATAATTATTATATATTGATAATGTCTTCGCATCGAGACGTTTGCGGTGTATTCAGTCTCATCACTGAATGATCATATAGAAATAAAGAAAAGGTCATTCCGGGAGAAAAACACTTCAATCAAAATAAATTCAGAAAAACATATCGTTGTTTTGTTTTAAATTAATTTTCCGAATCTTTGGCGAGCAAGTTAAGTCATCACCGCCACGTTGAATGAAAATCAAAAAGCATTCCTCATTAGTTTCTCTTCCATTCATCCAACATGTCGGCGATAGCTTTGTTCGTTATTTCTCAGGGGATTCCTGGTTGTGTGGGTTAGGGAGGGAGGGTTGTGTGGGTAAACATTCTCCCGGAATAAGCTCCTTCTATAACTTTCCTTTATTTCTATATCATGTACTATCTTTTAGTGTCATGCGTCCTCATCATATCATCACTGAATCGGACAATTAGAATTTTGATGATAAGAGTAGTACTGAAGGACAACGAGTATCACCATGCAGATAGCAGCGGAGAAAGTTATCTGCATTCTCCGAAAATCATTTGTGGAAGTGGGAAAAAGAAATTATACCCGCTATGTCAGAAGTACAGTTATGTACTTCTACGCTATGTACTATTTGAGAGAGGGATCGAAAAAATCCTAGCCAAATCACTCGGCACCCCCTATAAATCTGTCTCTAATTTCTGGACAGACAAGGCATTATTGACATGACTTCTTGAATCGTCTAGCTTATCCATCAGTCTGATCAGTCATATAATAATCAAGTAATCACGTATAGTGTTCACTTGTATGTGATGTACATTAACCCCCTCAGGGCAATCCCCATGAATGTAATCCGTTTAATTGTCCCATCTCAAAAGAGAATGATTCGTGTCTATGTATACTCGTGTATATACCATTTTGCTTGTTTTTTGTAGTTTGTGTGACTCGAGCCTGAGTTCATGCATTATTGGTATGATAAGTCCGCAGCACGTACGTAAAGTCAGGCACGCAAACCTAAGATCTAAGAGCACAAGTACACCAGACCCCTGTAGTTTAGAGGAGTAACCAACGCAAAAAAAAAAAATAGAAATCAAGAAAAAAAAGGGAGAACTTAGGGAGAGACTGAGAGTAGAGAGGGGGGAGAAAGAGAGAGAGAGAGAAAAGAACAAGAAGAATTTGTTGGATATAAACCAACCAAGTAGGTTTTCAGTCCTTTTTACTCGCTCGACGTTTCGACGCCGTAAACGAGCAAATACTAAATGACTGCTGAAACTCCTACTTGCGTTGTTTGCCTACTATAAGTACAACAAAGACCAAGAAAACAAGGCGAAAATATTGCGAAACAAGCAAAAAAACTCAAACAAAAAACTCTGCAGAGCAGATGAAAATAAATAGTGTCATTTACTATTTACGCTTTTTTGTCATTTAGTTCTAAAATAGGATCTACACTCGTATCTGATAAGATCGTATAATCTTGATATTCCTTCCAGTTAAACAAGGTAAAAGGGCCTGGGAACGAGGATATTTCCTTAACTTGTTTGCCTCTTATTTGTCCTCTCACCTCCTCTTCGAGTGCTAGTTTTTTCTTTCCTTCCTGTTCTATTTCCTTTCTCCCTTTCTTTCTTCCTTCCTGTTCAAGTCTTCCTTCGAAGCTGACCCCCTATAGTTTTTGTCCCTCTGTCTCGCAAATAGGTCAATATACTGATTGTCCAGTATTTTTGTCTTTTTATTTTTTTTCTTCCTTTTCTAAATAATCGTTTTCTTCTGTCAGTCCTATAGTTCATATAGTTCCCTCTTCACGACTTCCGGATTTTGTATAATTCGGCACGTGTTCAACTGGTGAAAATACTACGGCTCATGCGCAGTATCAAATTAGTGACATGATTTGCATGTTAGTAAAGGTAGTTTSGGTGAAGACACGTTACGTATACACTTGACATATGCTGAACTAAATCGTAGGATTCCTTTCTCCCAAATTGCTGGATCCCTGGTTGCTTTTATGATACCTCTCAATTAGGTGTAATTTTAGTAAATTGAGCAATTGAAAGGCTGCTTATTCGATCGAATACGTTCGCTTACTCGTTCATGGAATTGTGGAAGGCGAGACTAGTCACATCATTCTATGGTAAGGAAGCAAATTTATTGTAAATACATTTAATTTATAAACTTTACTGAATGATTTAGGTATTAAAAAGAATGGAAAAAGGCTATAAGTTAGATAAAAAGGTCTACTGATGGAGAAGAATTAAGTGATAGGCAATGTTTGAATCGAAACGTAGTGTTTACATTTTGTCAGCACTCGGGTATTACWACTTACACAACAAGTACGCATAGCGTGGTTCAAACATACCAGCAYAAATTCGGTGTTATTTGCGTACTTCTCAGGCTTATTACTACCTATAACGTAATATATCTACAATTTTATTCCATTTTTGTGCCTTTTATACATGCTTGTTAGAAATAAAATAGTGAAACGAAGATTGAGATATTTTTGCTTGTCAAACAAATTCCTCTTGTGTCATTCGTCATGTGATGAATGAATTACCATTGTTTTGTCGTAACATGTGTACTATTTTACATTCCACGCTCCACAAGAAAGGAAAAATAGCTTACTTTCTTTTTATTGTTCTTTATTTACGAATGAAAGATTTGGTTTTATCGAACATTTGAATTCATATCGAAACTATCGAAACTATAAGCTTAAAAACTCGATCCTCAGCTCTGCACAAGTTCTCATGTTAGATTCACAAGTTTATTGTATTGTAAAAAAATCGTATATGCAAGATCTATCGCATGTAAGAAGCATGTTGACTCATTACATTCATAAATAAGTAAGATTACTTATAGAGATCGAGGGATATCCCAATGAATTCCATGTTAATGTTTGCACATTCTTGAAAAAAGCTCAAAAATTACATCATCTAAAATTTTTCTATTATATAAACCATTGCGTAGATTGTGCAATAAACTGATATCGTTTGTATTTCAGCATTGAGGTTAGATAAATCACCTTAAATCACCTCCATAAAGTCAAAATCACATATTTTAAAGACATGCAGAATTGCTTGTCAAATATTGGATTACACAATATGACTGTACTTTGACCTGAACTTTCATTGCTTGAACACGTTCTGTATTTTCACGTTTTGAATGCTTCGTCAAAAGATCATTTCAATTTCCTTTGTTTGATGGTAAACTAAAGTAGCATTGTTTTTACAGATGCTTTGAGTGGATGCTACAGTATTTTCTTTTGTTTTTGTCTTTTTTACATGTTTTTTTGGGGGGTAGGGGGTGGGGGTGGAAGCAGAGGAGCTGAAACAAAGGGGTAAACAACAATTTTAGCCGTGGTGGCATTTATTGACTTTAAAATGAATGTTTAAAATGGGTACACGATAGTATTTTAGATCTGAGTTTTAGGCTGTTTCAGATGCAATCCAGAAATATCCAGCATGTTTTAAGAACCTCGGTTTTGTAACATGTAAAAAGTTCTTTTGTTTTCCTGGAGCATCATCTTTAATTCCCTTTTGCATTTATAGTCACCTTTAGATGGTGGATAGTTTGATGACTATGTACCAAAGAGCGCATACGAGGCTCCAGGAAAACAATGGATAATCTTGATGTATTCTTTTATTTCCCCGAAGCCTCGTCTGCAATTCGTTCGTACATGGTCACTGAACCAAAAGATCTAAAGTCTGCTATTCAACCAGAATACTGTATCTGAAATGGTCTATTCTAAAGAACCCTTGAAACCAAAAGGAGCTATTGTACCATGTTAGGCTAAATTAAAAAAATAATCAGGTTCTCATTTGTGGGCTTATTATTGTGTGTTAGGGGGATTGTGATATTAATTGCCAGATATATGTAATCTAGTCATTAAAACATTGATGTTGTGTTTGTTTTTAGTGTTACTATTACTCATGATTATTGGAGGTTCCTCGGCATCCCAGCAGGTCAATGTTACACATTATTCATCAGGTACAATATGTTTATTGTTACAGTAGTATTTTAGTATAAATTTAATGAAATTATAATAAAGGAATGGCCAATTATTAATATGGTAAGTTGTAGTTGTTTAGACCTGTGGAAGTTTCATAAGGGACTTTTACAGCACAGCAGGTGAAAGTTTGGCCACTGTTATGCATTTGCATATTTTTGTCTTGCTTATTAACCAATCACTGGTTTGTATCTTGACTTGTCATTCAGTGACTTGTATCTTATCTTGTCTGTGATCAAGAATGCTAATTGGATACATAGCAAGACAGAAGTACCCAAATAAGCTTGCAGTCTACCATGACTCTGTCATTGTAATTGTTTGTAATTTGAAAGCGCTTAGAGCAGATTTGTATAAGCGCTGTATAAAAATAAAATTATTATATTATTAGTTATTATTATTATATCATCATATAGGCAATACTTTTACTTGCTGCACTGTAAACGTAAATAATATTTAAATACTTTAAAATTCATATGAGCAGAGCAAATGAAAATGTCTTGAAAAGTTTAGCTCAGCTACTAGGAGATAAATAAAAAAAAATTATTTATCTTTTACTTGTATTGCATAAGTGTTTGTTACACATGTGAATCGGCCAGCTTTAATGAGAAGGAAGGTTACATGTACATTTGGAACAGAATTATTTTATTTATTGAAGTTATATTTTTAAAGTAATTTAACTTGTATGAAAATTATTTCCAGCAGCTGAATGCTATAAAGTCATAAATAGCTCATTGGAATATTTATACTCTCCTGACTATCCAAATGCTGCGCCATTCAGCAGTAAATGCACTTGGGAACTGCATGCAACTCCTGGAAAATATGTTGCAATTCAGACTATCGATATGAACGTTGGTGGTACAGATTGGGACTGTACATTGGGATATCTAGAGATATTTGATGGCTGTGGAGACAACAAATTCTTGGTTGACAAGATTTGTTTTTCGCGATATCAAAATGGTCAGCGTTACCTGTGGGTGTCAACTGGAACTTGTGTAACAGTACAGTTTAATTCTGCTGCTGGAAAAAAGAATAAGTTCAACCTTGTCGCAAGGCACACTTCATGTAAGTTCAATGTAGTATTTTTAGCATTTTTCATTATGATTTATATGTCATTTGTCTTCCCTAAATTCCCAAAAAGATGGGTGTCTGTTTTGGGAGCTATATCAGC